CTATAGACACATGGCTTAGCTATACTCTCTGCAAATATTAAGTTTATTGACACACGCGATTAGTCAATATATTAGCAAACATATGCGTACCGTAATCTCCCGTACAGGCTTGAATATAAACACCCCCAAACCATTCGGCATCCCAGCAACATCTATAGGCGAAAACAGTTATAAACGAACTCAAGGGTAACACGTTATTATATTATCATTAATTAATTGATCGAGTTAATTTTTACAAACTGTGATTAACTCGTATATTTATTGGATTTCTCGGTTTTTACAAAGTAATTGTTTTAGATATCAAGTTATTGCAAAAAAATGTACACGCATGCGTGTACATACACGCACACGCAAACGCGTGCAAACTCACGCGCACACAAACGCCATGCACACGCATAGGCATGCACACCCATAAACATACACACTCAGTAACTCAGAATCAGACGCACACGCAATATAAACGCTCACACACCAGTCCGCTTACCTTATGTGTGTTTGTGTGCTCGTGCGCGTGTGCATGTGCGTGTGCGTGTGCGTGTGCGTGTGCGTGTGCGCGTACGCGTGCGCGTGTGCGTGTGCGTGTGCGTGTGCGTGTGCATGTGCGCGTGTGCGTGCGCGTGTGCGTGCGTGTGTGTGTGTGTGCGTGTGTGTGTGTGTAATACCAGCGTCAGTACGAGCAACAGCAATATAAATCATTGTTTGTTTGATAAACATATAATCGCGATCACGCTCACCGTACAGTGTGCTTGCAAGAAATGCACCAAAACAGCGTGACATTTTGTTCAACAAAATGAATACACCGAGTATCCTTTTCGTATTTCGAATGTGCGGTAAAATTACGCCGACGTGTACAGAATAATAATTATTTTGCTAGTTTTTAACATTCGTTTCGCACCCTGCCTCACTCGCTCCCTTCTCTCGCGCGCTTTCTCTCTCTCTCCATATAATATATATATATATTCCAACTATAATTTTCCACATATAATTTTTAACTAAGACACATATATATTCGTTGCCGATGTAGGATATAATTTTTATACTTTATATCATAATATATACAACATCTCCCATCCAAACATCGCAACATTCAACATCGTAACATCCAAACGTGTTTCAATTTCCTCCGCTCGCAGCTGAAACAGGTGAACACGCGTGGGAACATATGATCACACATGTGACGCATAACTATCGTTGTCGTCAAGTCAGATTGAGACTAGTCACTGACGATACAGAACACTTCATTTTTGTACAAAGAACTTCGCCGATTAAACACAAAGCGGCCAGACCTACTCCCATGAAATAGACGTAGAATGCCCCTTGCGCATCGTCAAGTGAAATATCCTTATTTACAATCACTTGCGCTGAAGGTGCGATGCACTTGTTATTCGTCGGCCAGTGGGTTTGCTGCCATTTTCGTATCAGCCCAGACTCCATCATTGCCAATATCCTTGAATAGAAATGATTATACTGCTGTCACGCAAGCTATATATTATACAGGATGCTGCTATAGAACACAGTGGGGAGCGTCAAGTCTACCGAATACAGTAAAGGGTACATCATAGATATTTATTATTCTCTCAGTGGTTAGTACAAGTATCATTTATGGTGCGTGGGCGCTCATGGATACATTACAACAGGAGACGTAAAGAACTCTGGCAGTGACCACCCCCTAGTGTCAGTAAAGATGTCGGCTTGACGTAATACTCTAGGGCTAGCTACCCTCAACTTCCTAACTAAGGTTGTAAGACCTCAAGGATTTTAAGGTTGTAGGACCTCAACTTCTTAACTATGCAGCTAGTTAGCTGATAGACTGTGACCAAGTGCTGAGCCATGAAGAAATAAATGAAGAAAGGTCAAGGGTTATAAATGATCTTGCAGTTTTCGATCTATGCGGAGGGTTGGGTGATCCATGAACCTTTTTATTTAAGCATTTAATTATGTACTGCAAGACATCTGCTATTTTCCACCCGGTACACGTACGGTAGACACCTGTAAGAAGATGGTAATAAATTTTATTTGCTGTCTATTCCCAGCTATAACGCCAACTATTACTCGTTTCAATCAAATCATTGATAGTGGCAATGAGTAACTAGCCTGTAGTTCTATTTTTGCGTATATTGAAATTTAGATAAATCAAACAAACGTAAATTAAACGTGTTCAATACTTACTCATGGTTAAAAGGCGCCAGTAGTAGGCTGCATTCCTCAGGTAATGCAAACCCATATCTGGCGGGATAGAATTTCTCATCCGAGATGATGAAGCACACCTAGACCGACGTAGCGTGAGAGTGTCTTTATATATACACTACATATGAAAGTGTCAAATGACACTAGCTCACCACAAAAAGGACACAAATCGAGTGAGTGAGAAGAAGTTAGTTTTAATTGAGCAACCATCGACGTACATTATAGAAACGGAGAGTCTATATGGGAGAACTCCCATTATATACTCTTGATAATTATATGTGTAATTTTTTATGTGAAAATAATAAATAATATTATAAATTATAAATAAATTTATAAACCAAAATGAATCACAATTTGTGAACGCGTTGTAGAAGGCGCTATACCCGCTTTGATGTTTCTTAGCATAAATAATTAATATCATAATAATAAATCATAATATAATAATAATGAGTAATAACTCATAATATGATTCATAGCAGGAATTTGCATTAAAGATATTGTCATGAAATACTTGTAAAACGAAGCCGATGAGTGTAACCACCACAGCCTGTTAATATCTACGTGTCCTATATATTATATGCTATATAATTGCCAAAGCCCTACCTAATTTCACACTTTTTTTTTTAAATCAAAAACCCCTAGCCATATTCATTCACGATAAGCAAAAAATGAGCGAAATCCTGTTGAACGCTGAACTGACTAATAACAATTCCCATTTTTGCCAAAAAATTGCCGTGGCTCGAAAGTACATCGACTGCGTACTCACAAAATAGGACGTTCCATATGGAACACTAGCAGTAACAACTATACCCACATTTCAACATGTGGGTCAAACGTTTCTGAGTTATCGTTGACCGAAACCAAAATGTTGACGGACGTAACGAGGACGACGACCGCATGGCAATAGCTCAGCTTGACGATGTCAAGGTGAGCTAATAAATGAGAAGCCAGAATAGTTTTCCATATCTTGGATATTATTATAAAAACTATTACGACAGTACAAGCGTAGAATTCGTATATCATGGCAGCAGTTGTTGCTTGACAATGAGTGCGTAGGTGATTGAATGATTTGGCACATACGCTTTGCGTGTATGTATGCTGTGTCCGCTTGAATCAAGCCACGTTGGGTTGACAACAAATTTTATTGAATGGAGTTTACCTGTCTGTCTACAAGGAAAGTCTGTCGAAATAGCGCGAGTTGAAAGAATAGGTTTCGCTCCGACTAGGTAAACATAGCGCCCTGTTCTTTCGACACGTCCACAGTCCCGTGTCGATATCGTAGTCAAATCAAGGGATTGTGTCTGTTTCAATCATTTGCCATATGCACGGCACCGCGTACTCCCGCGTGTCCGCTTTTTCGGAATCTAAACAGAAAGTCAGAACAATATTAGCTAAGAAATTGAATTAATAATAAGACCCTTCTTCCGCACCGTTCAATGCAGAAATTAAAAAATAATATAGGTTCCACCATTTTGCAAAATTTATTGTAAGACTTAATGCCGAAATGCTTCAAGTTCTATGTCTACAACTCAGACTGCGTGTACAGTAGACTATATCGAACATGTGTGCACCGTTGCTCCCGCCAACCGATGGGACGCGATGTATGAAGATTCAACTAACCCGCCATCCAGTGTGAGTTTAGCCGGGTCGGGGCGTCATGCGGCGCGACGCATGACGGAACAATAGGCGAGCGTTCAAGTCACTCGTCTGTTCATCGCCGCCCTCTATACAAGCGAGTTTTTTTACTTGAGGCCTAATCTTAATTACCATTAAATGTAAAACTTAATTCATTCCTAAGATCTTCCTGAAAGTTTATTTATTAATTATTATTTTTTTAGTTCCCTGCCCGTGCCTCTGTTTCCATGGATCCTATCATGGAGGATGAACGCGCATTCGTCCTCGTGTGTTTACCAAACCACTCAAACGGGTTGAGTTTTATTGAGTTTCAGCGCAATCACGGACTTTTTAGGGAAATGGTTTGTAAATCACTAAATCATACTCTTTCTATGCTCTTCATACTCTTCGGGCCTAGTATGCGCACCACGTACATATCCGTACAGAAATCCAAAGGATCTGAGTCTATCTTTCATTGATTTACAAAGGCAATGTCACCAATTCATCGCTACCCTAAGGTTGGAAATGAAATCACCTGCCCATGCTGAGCATGCCGCAAGGTTTTGCGGCACTAATGCGCACTTCTGATATGATCGACGTCGGGAGACTACATACAAATACGCAGACGCCTGTAAAACGCGGATCGTAATAGTGCGCTTCACCGTATAATTGAGTGGATCAAAACGCGCATGATGGCGACTCCTAGCTAAGGAGTTGTTCGAGGCGACACCTCCTGGAATAATAGGTTGACTGCCACTCTGCGAAGCCAACGCCTCGAGGCTGTTAATGGCAGGTTCAAACCTTCTCGGAAACGTCAAGACGGCTATAAGATTGCCGTGTAGATGGCAGCACACCAACAATAGAAATATCACCACGAGATTGCTAGATCATTCGAGGAGATAGGTGATTTGGCAGCCATGTTCCACCTACAATATATGTGCGGAAAAACTGTATAGGAATAATATGAAAAGATCATCAAAGAGGCTATATATAGCAAGAAGTTATTCTCAGCAATTATATGACATCACAGTTTGTTTCAATTAACAGGTCATTAGTCTCCCAAACCAGTAGTAGTGGATAAGTAACAACAGAGCAGACAAGTGACATGACGATATAAAGACATACATGACAGCACGCGTGACCACTCGGGCGACGCA